GTGCACACTACTGTAGTTCCAACACTGTAGGGTTTAGGGTTTAGATAGTCATACTCTGAGCTTTCTCTCTTCTGTAAAATGGGGATAATATTACTTACCATTTCTGTCTTCTAGTTGTGGTATAAAGACCAAAAGAAGTGGTTTTTGTGATGTTGCTGTGAAAACTATGATATTAAAGAACATTTTAGAGTGTACTGAATTTGCAATAGAACTTTATCTAGAGGCCTGAAAATTTGTAGAAGAGAGCTCTAGAAATAGAATGGGATTACTAATGAGTTGATTTTTCTCACTTCCTGCCTGTCTGCTCTTTGGTTTAAAGAGGAAGTTTGAAAAGTATCTCAAATGCTGCTAAGAACATGGTCCCTCCTGACCAGTGTTGTCATCCCCATTTTACCTTGTCAAGAGTCATGTACACAACACCTCTTGCACATGATGCAGGCTGGCCCAAGAAGGGGCTCTTCTCCCTTGTGGCCACAGAAGGGTCTTTTCGAATAGCACAAGCAAAACTCTTGACCTTTGAGCATAGGAGGTTGTAGTAATCCCGAGGAGCCCATCACCAAGCTGTCAGAGCATTAGAAAGTTTAGAACTTGATATTTCACACACTTTTAACATGAGTCAGTGGAACAGTTTGTTACCTTTTTTTTTTTGGCCTGGCTGGCAAATATTTGGCACTATTACCAGTTATTTATTTACATTGATATTTGTTTCAAGGGTAAAATACTTAAATATATTTGGAGAACTTGATTTAATATTTAAAAGCAAAAAAAGTCTGCTTAATCAGACTTAGTATGTTAAAAAGTCCTTTCATGCTACAGCAAGGTGGGATAGTCCATTCTCTCGTGGCCACAGGTGTGATCAGTTGTCCCTGTGACCATAAGATCACCTCCAACACTTGCCAGTGTGCCTGAAAACACACAGCATAGTCACAGCAGGCATACACAGTCACACATACGCATCTCATTTGCACGAACAGATGAGCTAAAGGCCAGGGGCTGTTAGTTTTAGGACACAACATAGTAGTTCTGTAAGACTGGTAAGTTGTGGCTTTTCCATGTTAACTCTTTGCTTTGGTGGCCAGCCTTGCAAATATAGTTAGACCGTAATAGGGTCTATAGTGATGGTTCTTTCTTGTGTTTACAAAACTTACTGGGCTATTTATGATTTCTGGTTTTCTTTATTAGGAAATGAAGATTTGTTCAGCAATCATAAACCTTTTTCATCTGATACCAGCTGCACCTCAAACTTTGGTCAAGCCTTTGTTAGAGGTTGTAATGAAAACAGAGAGAGCCATGTTGATTGAGGTATGAATCACACTGAAGATTCTCAATTTTGTCATTTGTAATAGTTCTACTTTGTTGTGTTATAAATAGGGTAATCTAACAGCATAAGGATGCAGAAGTTAATACTACTTTTTAGTACAATCCATTCAAAGGGGGGAGTGCGTTCCTACTGTGTGAAAGGTGGTATGGGATATAGTTTTTCCTTTATTTTCTAGGCTGGTAGTCCCTTTAGAGAGCCTCTCATCAAGTTCTTAACTCGGCACCCCTCACAGACAGTGGAGCTGTTCATGATGGAAGCTACGCTCAATGATCCCCAGTGGAGCCGAATGTTCATGGTAGGTCTGGAGCAGCCCTGTGTCAGCCACTTTGTATTCCACAGTGTTCAGTCCCATTTCTCTGCTCAGTGCCCTGCCTTACTTCTCAGAGACATTTGAATATTGGAAGTATCACTGTTAGATTAAATATTTGAAATGCTTAGGCCCCAGAATTGCGCTTCATAGGGCTTCCCCTTGCCCCCCTCCTTTATTTGCCTATGGAAATTGCACAGGAATCTTTGAATTTACGTTTTTTCGCTTTTTTTAGTTTGAGGAGCTCAAAACAGGTTTCCTGTTTGCTTTGCTTTCAGAGTTTTCTAAAACACAGAGATGCCAGGCCCTTAAGGGACGTGCTGGCAGCCAACCCCAACAGATTTATTACCCTGCTGCTGCCAGGAGGACCACAAACTGCTGTGCGTCCTGGTTCACCCAGCACTAGCACCATGCGGCTGGACCTACAGTTCCAGGCCATCAAGGTGGGTCTCTTCCTTAGTTCTTGATCTCCCCACTGTGGAATTGAGCACCATTTCTGATTATGTCTTCTTTGGCAGATTATAAGCATCATAGTTAAGAATGATGATTCCTGGTTGGCTAATCAGCATTCTCTGGTGAGCCAGCTGAGACGTGTGTGGATTAGTGAGACCTTTCAAGAAAGACACCGCAAAGAGAACATGGCTGCCACCAACTGGAAGGAGCCCAAGCTACTGGCTTTTTGTTTGCTGAGCTACTGCAAGTGGGTGGAGCATGGTGCTTTATGTCTAACACATGGTTGATTTTGTCCAATAAACTAAGCTGAGGGATTTTCTTTATAATTTGCACAAGGCTACAAGATTGTGGCTCATTGAAAACTTCCAGTCAGATTTGTTGTAGGGGGTGGACTGTAACATTGAATTGTTTTAAAAAAGACAAGTCAGAGATGATACACAGTTACAGAATTTACCTTAAGTTGACCTCTTCTTTCGTTCTGATCCTTCAGGAGAAATTATGGGGATATTGAATTGCTGTTCCAGTTGCTCCGAGCCTTCACTGGTCGTTTTCTCTGCAACATGACTTTCTTAAAGGAGTATATGGAAGAAGAGATTCCTAAAAACTATAGTATTGCTCAAAAACGTGCCCTGTTTTTTCGTTTTGTAGACTTCAATGACCCCAACTTTGGAGATGAACTGAAAGCAAAGGTGAGCTCCAGTTTTGCAATAGAAGGCTTCAGATTCTTGGGCTGGTTTGCTGGGGAACCTCAGCCATTTTTCTGTTCTCCCCTGTCTGTTTCTGTTTAAATAGGCTGAATGGACTGGGTGAAAAATCACATTGCTAAGCAATGCATGGCAGATCCCTCTGGTGAACCAGTATTGCTAATTTCTTAGTTTTCAGAAAATGACTTGTTTGATTTGAGAAGAGTAAGCTAAGCTGTTATTAGGTCTGTCTTCCTCACATTTTTAATCCACTGTAGCACTTGTGCTTTGGTACAAACTCAAGATGATTTTGGTCATCATCAACTTTACTGCCCTAATTAAGATGGTGTGTTATAGCCCCGAAGCATTGTCTTTCTTGCTTCACTGAGATAAAAGAGTCTGGCTATATTTTCCTTCTTTTTTAATCTTTTTGTAGGTTCTACAGCATATCTTGAATCCTGCTTTCTTGTACAGCTTTGAGAAAGGAGAAGGAGAGCAGCTCTTGGGACCTCCCAATCCAGAAGGAGACAACCCAGAGAGCATCACCAGCGTGTTTATAACCAAGGTTGTATCTTCAGCAGTGCCTCGCTGTGACTAGAACTGGGGACGAGTGAATGTGTGTGCATATGCTAGCGGTTCATGGAAATAAGATTTTCCCCAAGACGTTTATTTTTTCTAAGTTATGTATGTTAGTGGCAGAGCATCCCATTACAATTATTAGTAATTTGTTGTAGGCAATCACTTGTACAAATAGGTTATGATGTTTAGTTTAACCTTTAGCTTTGTGAGTCTTCTAAAATCAGTGAGAATATTCAACTATCAATTACTACTATACTCTATGGTCACCAAGTTAATAGAGCAGTGTCATGGCAGTGATGATGTCTGAACTTAGTTTAGGTTCTTAATGAAATACATATTTCACTAAGGGTTTTATTGAATTTGAGAGTTAGATGCCGTGTTTACTGTTGAGATTACTGTTTGTTTTTATTTTATTTTAATTTTATTTTGTGGAACTGGGAATTTGTTTTTAATTTTAGTACATATTTATCATACATAGTGATTACATTTCTTTTTTTTTTTCGGAACTGGGGATTGAACTTAGACCCTTGCGCTTGCCAGGGAAGCGCTTTTTGTACTGAGCCATCTCTCCGGCCCCATGATTGCATTTCTCATGGGACATTGGTATATGTACATAACACGTATTTAATTACATTTTCATCTTATTCCCTTCCCTTAACCCCCATCTCTTATTTACATTCTCTTTGCAAAATATTTATCTCTGTTTCCTATTTTGATATTTTATTTTGCCTTTCATTTGTATTTTAGATTTCTCACATGATAGAAACCATTCAATATTTTTTTCCCAATATTTAATCTTGAGTATTGATTTCACTTAATATGATGGTCTTATGATGTATACATTGTCCTACAAATGAACACATTGTGTATAAATATATTTTTTAATCCATTCATCTGTTGATGGATGTAGATTTGGTTGCCATATTATGAATTGTGCTGCTATAATACAAACATGGCTGTGCATTGTGATAGTATGCCTTTTAACTCTTGAGAAGATGTTTAGAAGGGGAATAACTGGGCTGACTAGAATCTGTAGTTCTGGTTTTTGAGGAATTTCCATACTGATTTCCATAGTGAAATTACTACATTCCCAAAAACAGTGTAGAATTATTCCTTTTTTCACTCACAGCCTTGCCAGCGTTTGTTATTATTTGATCTCTTGATAATAGCCACTTTTTTCTGGAGTAAGATGGAATCTCAGTGTTGGTTTAATTGGGATTTCTCTAATGGCCAGAGATTTTGGAACATTTATAAATTTATTAGTCATTTATATACTTCTTTCAGTTGTTCATTCTTTGATTGGGTCTTTTATTTTGAAGGTTATAATTTTTTTCAGTTCTTTATATTCTAGATATTAGTCCTCTACAGGAATAGCTGGCAAAAACATTTTCCAGGTTTTCAGGTTGTCTTTTTGTTGTACAGGTTTCCTGTGCTATGTACCTTTTTAGTTTCATTGATCTTGTTTTGTTGATTCTTGATGTTATTTCTTACGCATTTGGGACTCTGTTCAGATAGTACTTGCCTAGGTCTGAAGATTTACCTTCCAGTTTTCATTGTAACATTTAGGTCTTTGTTCCAGTTTGATTTTAGGTTGTTTTTTTTTTAGTTTAGTACATGGTGAGATGCATTAATTTAGATTCAATCTTCCATATGTGAATAGCCTAGTTTTCCTACCACCGCTTATTAAAGAGGCTATCTTTCCTCTATTGTATGTTTTTGACCCCTTTGTCAAAGATCAGATAGCTGAGTGTGTCTGGGGTTATTTCTGTTTCCTCTATTCTGTTCCTTTGATCTTATCTACTTACATGCCAGTACCATGCTGTTTTTATTACTGTACTTTTTTAGTATAACTTGAAATCCATGGTTGTGATGTCTCTTGCTTTGCTCATCTTACTCAGCAATGCTTATACTATATTCCATTCTGGGTCTTAGTAATACTGTTGATACTGTGATTGGGATTGTTTTAAATCTGCCTTAATCGGTTTACAAGTATAATCATTTTGACTGTGTTGTTATGCCTGTCCAGGAAAAGGAAATATCTTTCTACCTTCAGATGTTCTCTTTGATCTCCTTTTTTACAATACTGTAATTTTGGTTATAGAAGTCTTTCACTTCTTGGTTATTTTCCTAAGTATTTTTGTTGATGCTCTTGTGAATTATATACCTAGTTTATTATTGGTATATGGGAATGCTATTGATCTCTTTTTTGACTTCATATTATGTTACAATGCTGGATTTGGTCTGGGAATCTTTTGTTGGAACTTTTTGGGCCCTCTAGAGGGAAACTGTTGTGTGCAAATAATGATAATGTGACTTCTTCCTTTCCTGTACATTTCCTTGTTACTTCTTTTTCTTACCTCACTACTTAGAGCAATGTTTTAAGTACTTTATTGGCCAAGAGTGATGTAGTAGACATCTTTGTTTTGTTTCTGATTTTAGAAATGTTTCAATATCTTCCCCCTTATAATATGATGTTGAGAGTAGGTTTGTAATAAATGGCCTTTATCAGATTAAGAGAAGCTCTTTCTATATATTTTATTTCCCCAGAATTTTAATCATGAAAGAATGTTGGATTTTGTCAAAGACTTTTTCTGTGTCTATTGAGATAATTGCATTTTTATCCTTGTTTCTCTTTGTGGGATGTATTGTATTTATGATTTGTTGAATCATTCTTGCATCCTTCCATGGGGTGAAGTCTATTTAGTCATGATGTATGCCCTTTTTAATGACTTGTTGCATTCTGTTACATTACTGAGGATTTTTGCATCAGTATTCTTTAAAAAGATTGGCCCATAGTTTTCTTTCTTATTGGATCTTTGTTTTTGGAATCAGAGAATGCTGGCTTCCAGGAATGACTTGGAAATACTCTCTCGACCACACACCCCAATTTTTGTATTTGTTTTAATAGAAATTGTGGTTTCTAATTTTATTTATTTATTTATTTATTTTTGCGGAACCAGGGATTGAACTCAGATCCTTGCATTTGCCAGTCAAGCGCTTATCCTACTGAACCATCTCCCCAGCCCCTTTTAGTAGAAATTGAATTCAGAACTTTGTGCTTGCCAGGTAGACGCTGTGCTACAGAGCTATATCCCTGGCCCTCCTTCCTTTGTAATTTTATTAAAGAGTTTGAGGAGTGTTGGCATTAGATATTACCTGAATTTCTTCTGCAATTTTGGGCCAGGATATAGTTTAGCAGCATAGAACCTGCCTGAAAACCTTAAGGTCCTGACTTTGATCCCTGGTACCAAACTCCACCCCTCCCTCCCCACCTCCTCAAAAAAAAAAAAAACCAAAAATAATTTAGCAGTAAATCCATTGGGACCTGGGTTTTTCTTTATAGGCTTTTTATTACTGTTCAGATTTCATTGCCTGTTATGGATTATTCAGAATTTTTGTATCTTTTTGGTTCAATATTGGTAATTTATATGTATCTAGGAATCTGTCCTCCTTGTGAATTCCCCAATTTATTGGAGTACAGATTTTTGGAAGTATTTGCTGGTAATCTGGTAGCATCTATTGTAATTTCACCTAACTGCATTGATACAGGTTTTTCTTTCCCTTTGTTAGGTTGACTAAGGGTTTGTCTATTTTGGATATTCTTTCAAAAAACCAGCCCTGTAATTCATTGATTTTTATTTATTTTTTAGAGGGGATCTCAATTTCATTCATTAACTTAGGATTTGGATTCTTGTTTTTCTGGGGCTCTTAAGTGTACATCTTTATTTGGGCCCACTTTTTCTGATGTGAACATTCACAGTTACGAACTTGTGTCTTAAGACTGCTTTCCATTGTGTTCTATAAGTTCTGATATGTTTTACTGTCATTATTGTTTGATCCTAGGAACTAATTTCTTCTGTGACCCATTGATTATTGAAGTATATTGTTTAATTTCCGTGTGTTTAATAATTTCTTTTGTGTGTATGTGTGTTTTGTGTTTAATAATTTCTGTGCTTTCTCCATTGATTTGCAGTTTCATTGTGCTTTATCCTGATAGCATGCATAGGATAATTTCAGTTCTTTTGCATTTAATTCTTAACTAGGGAATTAAGACTATTCAAATTGAGACTTATTATTGAAAAGTAATGACTTATTCCTGTCACTAGCATTATTTTCTGGCTTGTGATTTTCTTTATTCCTCTTCTGCTTAACTATTTGCCCTATGTGGCTTATTCATTCTATTAAACATTGTTTGCGGGGCTGGGGAAATAGCTCAGGGTCTGAGTTCAACCCTGTATCCTATTCTAACATTTTCCTCACATTAATCACTTGTGCTGCCCATCCTTTGAATAGAGAATTTACTCTTGATGGATTTGGTTCAGTACCTTTTTACAGACTCTTTCTTTGCTAAGCTGGTCTTGTCTCACATCATAGTGATCCGCCTGTTTATAGCCTCCCAAGAGCTGGGATTACAGGCACATAAATAATCCTTGCATCAGAATGTGTCATGCAGAGATTGTTTTGTGATCGTGGCTAGCTGGGGTTTTATACACCTCAAATATGTTAGATTATTTCTTGATATTTGGAAATTTTTCTGTGATTTTTGTAAAGAGGATTTGTACAGATTTTGTGAGGTTTCTAATTTGACACTAATTTCAATTAATCTTAGTCTTTGCATCAACTAATAGCTGTTGGATCCATTTTTCATGTTTTCTCCCCCCCCCCCCTTCTGTATTTTAGGGAAAGGTCTACAGGGTGTTCAGGGTCTCAATGCTAGATCAGACTCATAGTGATCTGCCTGTTTACAGCCTCCCAAAAGAGCTGGGATTACAGGCGCGTACCACCATGCCCAGTCTCAATCACCGTCTCAGTGCGGGGCCAGCATACAGGCCCCTGTACCTGCTTGCAGGTGCTTTAATCTGCTGAGCTATTTGGCCAGCCTCTCCAATTTTTAAGGTATCTCTACTTAATTGGCCACCAACATCAAACCCTGTATCCTATTCTAACATTTTCCTCACATTAATCACTTGTGCTGCCCATCCTTTG